TTCTTTATTTCACTAACCCATTCTAGCTGACTGGTCATTCAATTAATTTGTGTAATATATCAGTGAAGTGAACTTTCTCATCCATGGGAGCATTTTGTAGACCCTTTGGAAAATGCATAATCATTGGTATGTTAGAAAGCTCATATTCAGCTACTTCTGCAATATTGCCAAAATGAAGACTAGAAGTGAATTATAATACCAAAGTTAGAAGAGAATATATTATTCACTTCTTGACAATTAGCCCCTTAACTTCATTAGCACAATTTTGGGTGCACACATTTTATTATCTTGACTTCTGTTATTCCATACAGTTCCTGGTTTCTTTTAGTTCAAGAGTCATAAGACTAACATAAAAACAATCCATCTGTTGTTGCTCACTGATGTTTAATTATCTAGGATGAGATTTGATATGACCAATCTCAAATCAAATCAAAGTGCTTCAGTTTACAAAAGCTGTGGCTATCTAAGATTGAGGATTTTCCCTTCAGAATCAAGTAGGCACTCTCATGAAATGGAAAGGATAAATGAAAAGTTGGCAAGGAATATTTGTCTCTCTTCCCCATAGTCTGTTTTCTCTTATTTGGAAATAAAGTACCATTTTCTTACAGAAGATTTTTTTAAATGTGTATTTATGTGCATCATGCCAAGTTAGCTACTCTGTAATTGAAGGGGGGGGGGGGAAGTGTTAAAAAGTAAGAAGAAAAATATAGAGAAAAGTGTCAAATCAGTGAATGTCAAACCTGTTCTGTCTGTATGGAATACTTCTTGACTGCAGTACACTGGACTAAAAGTTATAGGCTTTTATAGAATGTCTGAAAAAAAAAAGACACCACTGCTTTAAGGAATCCATTTAATAAAGTTAATATGATTTTTAAAGCAGCAGTAACCTTTTTTTCAAGCTCAGTTGGAAGCTATTGTGAATAGCAAAGATGCACTGCTTGTGTGATGTCCAAAAAACTTCTAAGTCATGTTTGAGGTGTCATAGCCCTATTGCGCAGTATTTAGTCTCAAGGATAAAGGTGAGGTGGGGGAGCTTAGGAGAATTAAAGCTGATCCTTCTAAACTGAAAGCTGAAGGGTAAATCAGTGAATGATTAGAGTAATCTAAATCTGTGTTCAGTTTCTTATGCTTCTGGTTGAGCTGGGAAGTACCAAATATTGTATGGCTGTTTGTAAATGAAACAAAAATATAGAGCAACCATTTTTCAGTTCTTTGCTCCCAGCAGATAGTACGTTTGCACTTGTAAAAACTGCAAATGAGAGGTGCCTGAAAACAATGCTCTATAGCTCTGTTCACAAAGTGTAGAATCTAGGCCACATTTAGGCATTTGCTGCGCATATAATAATGTGGAAGCTCAGTGGGATAGACCGATAACGTGGAATACACTGTGGGAGCTCAACATTTACACCCAACTATTCCCCCCCCACCTCCCTCTGCCACTGTAGCTTTAAACAATCCTGGTGGGACATGCAGTCATATAAAATCCCTGATATGTAGACAGCATTGCCTGGTTTGATGCAGTCCCCCATGGCATTATTTGTAACCATGGGAGCAATTTGTGATAAAATAGTGAAAGCAAAAGAGCAGTACTTGTGGGTTATGATCTCAGTATGCAAAAGAGCAGGCTGGTTAGCAAAATTGCACACACCTGCACTGCCTCCCTCCCCTCCTATCTGAGCAGAGTTGTTTATAAAAGCTGCAACCTTGACACAGGTGGGGGAGGACACGTGTGCTTTGGAAACTCTGCGGAAAACAGAGAAAAGCAGCCGAATAAAAGAAGGCATTTTTCTTTCCAGGAGACTGGATGGTCCAGAGGAAAAAAAGTACAGAAGCAGAGCAAGGAAAAAATGCAAGTATAAAAGCACAATGTGGAAAGTTGCAAGTACTCTACATGGTGGCCAGTAACAGAGAAGAAATTCCAGAGAGAAAATAAGGCAGAATGGTGTTTGTAAGAAGAAAGCATTGTTATGGAATCGTTATCCAATAGAGTATAGTATAGAGGAAATACTGTAATTCTAATTTATTACTATTCAATTGTTAGCACAATAATTGTTATAGTAATAGTATTTAGCATAGGAATATAGAAAAAATAGTAAAAGAACAGAATATAGGATAGAGGCAATAGGAAGCACTCATATATAGCTTTGTAAGTGAAGGGCATTGTTTTGATACACAATTTTACACTCTCTCATAATGTGTGGGCATGCATGTGATAG